AATGCCAAATGATGGCGTCTGGACATAATTGGTCACAGTTCTTAATGTTCTCTGCTGCCCCGGATTTTTCCTTGTGCATAGATAATGGCTTATCGATTAGAGGAGGAACAGCTAGAGAGCATTCAGTCAGGTAGCTAATATCGGATTATTCTCCATCCAGACACCTACCCCAAACTGAACCCAGTACAGGATGGGCTTGGGAAGAATTTCTTCTGATACTGTGTCAGAGCAAATGAGACTGTGTAATTCCTTGTCAATGCTCGATCTACTCAGCTATTCACAGACTTATTTATTTGAAGCTTTGTATTTCAGTCTATTAAAACAGAAGTCATGTACTATCTCTAAAACATTCTTAATGCTAGAAAGAGCCTTCTTTTGTGTTTTAATTGTGCCTTTTCCAATGCCTTAAACAAGATCCGAACAGTTAAATCATTGTGTTAAAAGACTAATTGTACATGGCTGGTTGGTGGTGTAGTGGTTTCAGGAGCTGGACTCCTACATGGCGAACCACAGTTCTAGTCCTGGACCTGGTGGCTTGCTTTTATATGTTCCCTTTCTCTCTCTCTCTCTGGTCAGATTAAAAAAAATGGTAATAATAATAAATAAAATGAAATACACAGTTTAAAAAAAAAAAAGACTAGTTCTACAATTTAAACCAATAAAAGCTACACTGTTTAGTAGAATGTTGGCTCTGGGCAGCATGGAATTTTACTGTGCCAGATAATTTTTAAATTTTGCCTAATTTTTATTACTTTTTTCTTTACCCATACAGACAAGCACTGATTTGGTACAGCCGGTAGGTAACCATTCAGAAAATTCTGGATGTTTTTGTATGTAATATGCATTATATTCATGGTGTATTATCTAGAATGATCTTTGTTGTTTCCCCACTACATTGCTAGTCACAGATTTAACATTAAACCAATTAGTTTAAACACTTTCTAGTTTTAACTGGTGCTACCCTACTGAGGAGCTTTGTGTTTCTCATCAAATCTTACCATGATCAATTTCATCTTATGTTTTTTTTTCTCCTTTGCTCTTCTGCATACTTTAAAGACTGACTCTTCAAAAAGTCTTTCCCTGTGTAACCTGATCATGGAGGAAACTCCAGAGAGTGGGTTGGCCGAAGAAATCCAAAGAGCTCAAATTGACATAGGTGCATTTACTTGGGGCCCTGATGTTAGTGCAGACAGTGTCAGCCAGGAAAATGCCCCAGGTGGGTCTCCAGAAGCTTCTGCATGTCTCTCTGAAGCAGAGAAAGACATGAGATTACCCACTGGAATGCCTCCTTCTGCTGACTGGCCTGCTGTAGCTGAACAGGGCGAGCGTGTCCTGGGGATGGCCCCTCCAGGTGGACATGAGCAGCTGTTCCCCAAGCCCGTGCCTGAGGCTGGAGTTGCCACTGCAGCCTGTGTGGAGATGGAGCAGCCATACAGCTTACTTGACTCAGAGATGCCAGCCATGGAAACAGCTGGCTTGTTCAAGGAAAGTTATGAAGATGTTAAAAAGTCATGCGAAGAAGAAGAGAAACAGAAGATAGAAGAGTCTATGTGGGCAGGTGTGGAGACATGTGAAAAGGTAGACACTGTAGCTATTGATCTCAAGGCACTGGAAGGTACAGAGGAATTTGAACAGGAAGCACATGAAAATATGGGGAACAGGGTAGTAGATATTTTAAAGACAACAGGGAAGCAAGATCAAGGAACCTTAAAAATTAATGAAGTGGAAACTAAGAAAGATCTAGGAATGAGGCATAAGGAAAGTATAAAAACCCATGAAAATTATTTTGAGGAAAGTGAACTATTAGAAAAAGATGTGGAAGTAGTAGACATGGCAGATGAGTTTAGTGGGAGAGACCAAGGGCTACTTGATGGTATTCAAGTAGTAAAAAATAATTGTGAAATTACAGACGATACTGCTGATCACACAGGTAGCTTGAATGTGCCTCTCCAGACAGACTTTGTATCTAATATTGAAGGTACCAGTCTTGAGGGATCGGATTTGGCTAGAAATGACATAAAGAAAAAATTAACCGATCCTCCCAACCATGATATAATATATCACCCAACACAGGGCAGTACAGATATTGAAAAAATTCAGTGTGAGACTGTGTTCTATGCTCCTAGAGGGGAGCCACATAATAATGAGGCTGTTGTATCAGTAAAATGTGAAGTGGCAGCTCATTCTAGGATTTACTCTAATGATTCTCTGGGAACTAATACAAATGAAAAAGATTGGTGTTCATATAAGGCAGAAGATTCATTAATGGAGGGGCCCGAGAGTACAGTGACTGGGAACAGTAGCCATACCATCAACTTGCTAAGAATTGTAAAGACAGACTCTTGGAGAACAGATCCAGATCAAATCTGGCAGCCAAGCTTGGATTCAGGAGTGAATAATACGGATGTATCAGGATTCTCTGGTATACCAGATGGCCAAGCAAGTGAATTTGCCAATTATCTGGGTCCTATTAACCAAGAAGATATGGGAGACTTAGATAATTGCCAGAAACACTTAGATATGATTGAAAGCAAAGAAAGCCTTGAGGTGGACTTACTAACAGGTGCATGTGGGGAGCAAGCCATTGCTAGCTGCTGGGAACAAAGCCAAGAGATAGCTAGACCATTGGTTCTGGGAACCTCCCGGAATGCTAGCACTGAGAGTTCTGCTAGTTCCCGAGACAATGACATCAACAACTCAGATTTATCTGAAGATGAAATTGCTAACCAGAGATATGGATTGTTGTACCAAGAAATAGAGACTGATAAAGACGAGGTACTTGTTCCAGTACGTAGCATAGACTAGCAAAGACTTCTGTAGGTTCTGTTTTTCCTAGTGTCTCTAACCTTCTTCATTATTCATCACGGTCATCTTGGAGGTCTGACCAATCTCCTTGATAGATTGTCATGTACCTTTTGAAACCTGTGCAAACCAAACCCAGATAGGTTGACAAAAAATATCACCCCCAAAGCAGAATTATTTTATTGGACACTAATGCGGGTTTAATTCACCATTTTATTTTCAGAGTTTACTTCTACTTGTCATTTTTACTGTTGAGGCAGTAAAAATGTTTTAAACCAAGAGCAGCATAGAATAATGACCATCCCTCAAGTGGTTCTACTCCAGTAGGAGCATGTAAAATACTTCTCACCAGAGCACCAAAACCATAGCATCTCGTAGTTGCTGTTCATCAAAATGATGTATTAGAAATGCTGGAAACGCTTCTTCCAGACTCTATAAGTGGCCTGCAAAAAGAGCTATGTAGCTCTCCCAGCTCTTGGAAACATGTTACTGTGATTGAGAAAGTGGGTTTTTATTAGCACTAATCCACACACCAGCAATATTTATAAAATTAATCTTTTTTTGTCAGCCTATTTAAAATAATACAGCATGGCCTTCTGCATTTCCTAAGCACTTTCATGCACAGCACCCTTTTGTATTATTTTTAAAATTCGTGGTAGTTTTTACTTTCCAACGTGTCTAATGGGTATTTACTGATCCTGTGAAAGTGATGAAAAAAAATAACACACTCTGATATTCTTTTCTGTTTAGGCTTCCGGTGGTTCATTTAATGGATTCACCCAGGTAAGGAATCGATTTTCTAGCAAGATTTGCCTGCTGAGAATGATGCACATATTTCCAGTGTGAGTCTCTGTGTCACTGATGGAGAATAATGTAAGAGCTTCGACATAAGATGTGTCCCCACTGTTTACAGATTGAGTAATGGAGACTGAAGGAAAGCAACATGGTAGGATTACTGTGAAGATTGCATCTAGAGATCACTGATCCCAGACAGCAGCCGAGTCTACTGAGTCCTCCATGACTTAGTTATTATTAATATGATTGTGTGTACCATGAACTTCTACCTTTGCTCGATTCCTCTACTAGAAATTAGAAGTTGTCCTGATCTGAGCGAGCCACTAGCTTTAGCTGTTAGGAAAGAGGAGATCTGCTTGTTTTGAACTAGTGAGGTGAATCTTTAGAAAATATGACAAGTTTTTAGAAGTCTTTCTCTAAAGATTCATGTAGGAATCAAAATACACAGAGCCTTACCTCTTCAGCACTTCTCTGGAAAGACGCCCCTGTAAGATAAGAAACTCTAAGTCAGGCCCATAGTGGTTAAGGGAGCCAAATCCTGTGAGTCAAGTCCCAGCATAGACAACTTGAAAGGCCCACTAGTAGCATGTGCATGTGTGTCCAAGGTCCCGACCAGATGGATAAATGGAGAAGAGATTGTAGTGTGGCCACCTCTACTGGGGATGCTTTCAGATGTGTCCCCACTGTTTACAGATTGAGTAATGGAGACTGAAGGAAAGCAACATGGTAGGATTACTGTGAAGATTGCATCTAGAGATCACTGATCCCAGACAGCAGCCGAGTCTACTGAGTCCTCCATGACTTAGTTATTATTAATATGATTGTGTGTACCATGAACTTCTACCTTTGCTCGATTCCTCTACTAGAAATTAGAAGTTGTCCTGATCTGAGCGAGCCACTAGCTTTAGCTGTTAGGAAAGAGGAGATCTGCTTGTTTTGAACTAGTGAGGTGAATCTTTAGAAAATATGACAAGTTTTTAGAAGTCTTTCTCTAAAGATTCATGTAGGAATCAAAATACACAGAGCCTTACCTCTTCAGCACTTCTCTGGAAAGACGCCCCTGTAAGATAAGAAACTCTAAGTCAGGCCCATAGTGGTTAAGGGAGCCAAATCCTGTGAGTCAAGTCCCAGCATAGACAACTTGAAAGGCCCACTAGTAGCATGTGCATGTGTGTCCAAGGTCCCGACCAGATGGAGAAATGGAGAAGAGATTGTAGTGTGGCCACCTCTACTGGGGATGCTTTCTTCTTCTTCTTCTCCTCCTCCTCCTTCTTTTCTTCCCCCCTCTCTCTTTCTCGCTCTCTCTCTTTCTTTCAGTCTATCTCAGGAGAATGGACACACTATCTGGCAGTTAAAAAAAAGAAAGAAATACAGGAAACTATAACTGATTCTGTCCAGTAAGACAGTATTTTCCTTGGGAACCTGTAAAAGAGGAACTAAAGAGGAGCCGTCCTGTTCCCTGTGTATGTCCCGGCAGACAGCTGTAACTCAGGGAAAAGGCAGGCCATGGGGCTCGCAAGCTCCCAGAGTCAGCTCTGACAGCCTCTCAGGGAAGACCCCGTGAGGCCTGTCTGTGATGAATGTTGCGTTGCACAGTTCAGAACCACACAGTTTTCAATCATTTGAAGAATTTAGAATTTTCTTAATAGATATTCATGTGACATTTATAAACAGAATTCCCTGTTTTTAAAGTTTCATTATTTGGGCCAGCAGGTGGTGTGGTGACTATGGTGCTGGACTCCCAAATGGTCAACTGCGGTTTGAGTTCTGGACCTGACAGCTTGAAATTCATGCTGGGAGTTCTGTTGGGAAAACAAACAAACAAAAAGTTTTATTATTTATTTATCATGTTACCTATAAAAAGATAAAGCCCACTCATTCTCTCTTGCAAATATGGATATACACAGACAGAAAGGGGAGTAATAGTGCATCTTTTCCATCTGTAGAAAACTCTTCTGAAAGGTTGAGTCATAGTCATTGTTACCCATTTCGTATTTTCTCAAGTGTGTATTTCTGTCAGAGTAATGAATGCACATCATTTAAAGAGCAACACAATTGCAGAAGGGTTTTTATTTTCAAACTATCACTCCCCCCCCTTTACTGTTTCTTAGAAATATCTTCATCTCTTAAGAGATTCTCTGGGGACCAGCAGATGCAGTAGTGGTTGGGGTGCTGGACTCCCACATGGTCGACCGCTGTTCTAGTCCTGGACCCCGTGGCTCAAGTCTCACTTGCTTTCTCTCTGTCTCTCTAACTCTGGCGAGTGCACCCTATGACAAAAACCTAAAATAAACAAATAAATGAATAAATAATAAATCTTAAAAAAACCCAAAGATTCTCTGCTTTTATCCCATAAGTAGACATATCTCTTTTTTCTTTTTTAAAAAAGAACTGTTTATTTAATTTTATTATCATTATTGTTATTTTTTAACTTGATTATAGGGAGAGAGAAAGTGAGAAAGCAAGCCAAGAGATCCAGGACTCCAATTGCAGTCAGCAGTGTGGGCCAGTGCCCTAACCACCACGCCTGCCAGCCCCAGTAGGCATATTTTTTATACTGCATTTCTTGATTTCTAAAACATTGTTGACTCAATGCTCTGAAAGAAGAGGGATTAAAGTATTTTCTATCCCCTACACTCCCAGTTTGCCCCTCTCTCCTGCTCCCTGCTCTTCTCTGATAAATGTCTTCCCTCATAGCGATCCAGTCCAACCAGTCCGTGGAAAGAGTGTAGAAGAAAATGCCACTAGCAGCCAAGTGATGACACTTACATGTCCTTTCTTGCCACCTTTCGTTGTCCTTTGCGGTAGCAATTGTGGGTCCTGCTTGTTTGACTGTTGGTTAGTTTGCTTCATTTTCTAAGTACTTACCCCCAATTCAACCCCATACTACTTACAGGACCTCCTCTCACTCAACACTTAAATGATGTAGTAGATTGAAAAAGCTGAAGTTGGGGGCCTAAAGCTCCTAACCTCTAACTTGGTGTCAACCTCCGGAAGGGAA